AAAAAAAAAAAAAAAAAAAGCATTAGAGAGAGACAGATGTACTTGCAGAATGTGTAACTTAATATGAAGGAATGGAAGGAGAGATTATTTGATGGAATCTTCGTGATTTACAAAACAAAATCAAGTGATTAGGACTCGACTGTGAAGATAGTTGACTGGGTGACAACCCCTTCTAAAGAGACCCGTTCTGGGGGCCTGCAAAGGCACTAAAATAAAGTCAGTGCAATCATAAGAAAGAAAAAAGAAACCCTATGTGGGGGTATCCAACCTTTTTCTTCTCTTTAAGGCACATTGGAAGAAAAAGAGCTGTTTTGGGGCCACCTGTTAAATATGAAAACTTAACAAAAGCTGATTAGCCAGAAGAAGGTCCGTGCAAGCTTGTTGTGACATCTGCCACCACACAGAAGCCAAAAAGTGTTCACAAAATCAGTGCGTGGGCCTGGTTGGACGCCCCTGCAGAGCCCCCAGAAAGGAAAACAGCCAAATGCATTCCTTAAGTCCTTTCATCTTGTTGGACTCCTGACCACAAGAACTGTAAGATAGTAAATTTGTAGGGCGGCGCCTGTGGCTCAGTGTGTAGGGCACTGGCCCCATATACCTAGGGTGGTGATTTCGAACCCGCCCCAGCCAAACTGCAACAAAAAAATAGCTGGGCTTTGTGGTGGGCGGCTGTAGTCACAGCTACTGGGGAGGCTGAGGCAAGAGAATTGCCTAAGTCCAGGAGTCGGAGGTTGCTGTGAGCTGTGATGTTACAGCACTCTATCGAGGGTGACAAAGTGAGACTCTGTCTCTAAAAATAAATTTGTGTTGTTCTGATGCCACTAAGTTGGTGGTGATTTTTTATAGCAGCCACAGAAAACTAATATTGTACTAGAGTCCCTGTGTCCCCAGGCCCTGTGGGAAGCAGGTGAGGGGGCCGAAGTCTACCCCAAGCTGTACCCACCAAGCCATGTGTCCTGGCAGCAGGCTGTCTGAGGCGGGCCCTGTCTACTTCATGCCTCGCATCTCCCCACGTGGGCCCCCCTGCCCCCCATGAGTTCCTTTCTTCCCTCCTGTCCTCTCCTTTCTCCACTGACCAGAGAACCCACAGATATCACTCTGGCCCCGGGTAACAAGAAGCCACCTTACCCTTTTTAAGTCCATTTTCTTGAACACCACCAGTTACCAGGAGTGTTCGTACCCAATGAATACGAGAGAAGATGGATTGAAGCCGTTATCACGGGAGCGGGTTCCTGGCAGAGGATGAGACCGGCCCCTCCCTGTCTTGTTCTCGCCCCATGCACTTTCCTACCGTGGGGTGAGCTGTGCCAGATGCCAGCACCATGCCCTCGAACTTCCCAGCCTCCAGAATGGCGAGCCAAATGAACAGCTGTTCTTTATAGATCACCCAGTCCCCGGTAATCTGTTACAGCTGCAGAAAACAGACCAAGACATCTACCATCTCTCGCCTCAATGCCAATATATTTTTTCAGGGTTGTGTGTTACTTTTCCACAGCTGCTGTGACAGATTGCCGTAACTTACTGACTTAAAACAACACAAATGTATTATTTTAGAGTTCTGGAGGCCAAAAGTCTGCAATGGGTCTTTCTGAGCTTAAAATCGAAGTGCCAGCCTGGCTGTGTGTCTCCTGAACACTCTTGGACTTGCTCTCCTCTCCTGCTCTTAGAGGTCTCCCCGTCACTTGGCCCCTTCCTGTGTCTTCAAAGTTTGCGACATTGAGCTGAATTCTTCTCCTACTGTCCCCTCTCAGTCTCTAATCCCCTCTTCACGGTCAAGGGTCACTGTGATCACGTTAGCCGCCCACCTACCCCCACCCTGTCTCCAGGACGATTTTCCCCCTTTTAAAATTATTTGATTAGCAGCCTTAATTCCATTTTCTACTTTAATTCCTCCTTAGGTGACATAATATATTCATAATTTCCTGGGATTAGGGTGTGGACATCTTTGGGAGGCTGTTATTCTGCCTATTACAAGTTGTAAATTCTTCATTTCAAAATCGTGATGTTCACTGTGAATCTGTAAACTGGAACTTTGCTGAGTTTCTTAGAAAGAGTGAAGACTAATGTTTTTAACTCAGTTGTTAGCTCCACCTTTGCTTCGTATCGTTAAATCACTCTTGAATTATGGGTTTCATTTCCTTTTTCTATGCGTTAAAGCTAATATGTGCTCCAGTGTACTCAATACTAATGTGAAACCAATAAAGAAAACAGCTACAGGCCCACACAGGACAAAAACAGAATTAAATTCAAGCGAGGGGAGGAGGGATGAGGGGGAGGAGAGGGGACAAGGGAAGGGGATTGATAAACTCTCACCTAACCTGCACGGTGTGAGGCAGACCTCCTGGGTGAGGGGCTCCATCACGACTTGAACTTTACCTCACAAACGGTTTGTACCCTCATTAACCTGAAATGTGAATAAATAAATAAATGAGCTAATATTTTAATGGGAATTCAATTCAACCAAGGATTGAATGAAAACTTTTAAGATCACCTCTTTGGATACAGAATATGCGTATGTTTAAGAAATGTTCAGATCTAAGATTGTGAAGATTTCTTTATAAGTTTCAATAAGCTACAAAGTGGAACAATAATGTTTCTCTATACGACTCCATAGGTTATTTAGCAGCTAACCCTCGACTTGGATCATTGCCTAAAGTTGCACGTAAGTCATAGAAATAAAAAAAAGCGGTTTCATTTTGAAAGGAAAAAAAAAGATATTTATAGCCCCTGGAGATGTGTGTGTCCAGCTTAAACAAATTGCCCTATTGGTCCTGAAAACTCGGTCTCCGTCTTCTGCCACTCTGTGTTTCTGAGTTTATCAAACACTTTCTGCTGCACCGCTCAGCAGCAGGGACGTGGCAGGCGAGGACTAGGAGGAAGGGGCAGGATCGATAACAGGATCACCGATAGTAGGGCCTCTGAATGATAGATCCAGTGGGGTTTTTGTTTTCTTCTTTGGCCCTACCCAGTCTTTTCAAAATATTTTTTATGATAGACAGAAATGAGTGATTTTTTTAAAACTCAGGGACCTTCTAATAATAAATTAACCACAAGTTTAGGGTTCATCTCCTTTCCCTTGGGGTACATAGACTGTTTATATGCAAAGAGGATGCATTCCAGTTTGCACTCTGAAACCTCATGCCGGAGAGGAAGAACAGTTTGGAGATTTCTCCCATAGGAAGGTCGTCCCTCCTCTGAGGACCCCTCTCCTATAGGTAGGATGGACTGCAGCTCTCCACTAGCCCAAAGCCATAAAGAAAATTAGGGGGGTTTGTACCAGTGATTTGAAAGCTCCTTGTAGCCACAAGACAGAGCCCACTTTGCCCTCCCTGGTGGTCTCAGCCATTTACCTGACAGCTCGGCTACTCTAGCAGCTGGAGCTGGAGCTGGAGCTGTCTCTGGAGCAGCACTGCGGCTGTCCCGGCCTTCCCCCACCAGTTCAAAGGTGGAGAGATCAGATACCCTCCAGGTCCCAATTCTGCTCTTAAATAGAAGCCTCATTCTCAGAATTTTGATTCATTGCTTTATAGTGATATATTTAATATAAAAACTACCAGTGTTAATAAAGAAAGTTCTAGAAGATGATTAATGGAAAAGATTCTGAACTTTGAAATGATCTCTCTTTCCTACTTTGCTTTTACAGTTGCTGGTATCCTGGGATTTGGCCTTGGAAAGGTGTCATACATAGGCGTGTGCCAGAGCAAATTCCATTGCTTTGAAGACCAGCTTCGTGGAGCTGGTTTTGGTCCACAGCATAACAGGTTTGTGACTGACTGATTTGATCGAGGGATTGTAGTGAAGGTAATTGTAAGAAATTAATGACAGGTTGCATGTCATTTACAATATTAAACACATTTTTAAGTCCATAAGTTACAAAACCTTTTTAACCCTCAAGTTTCAAGTTGAGGCTACCCAACTTCAATATAATTATTTAGTTACTTAACTATTTAATTTGCTCAATATTTAATGCATTCCTACCTCGTTCAAGGCATTGTGTACGTCTTTAAAGAGTACCTTAATGTGGCTGGGCACCGTGGCTCACACCTATAATCCTAGCACTCTGGGAGGCCAAGGCAGGTGGATCACCTGAGCTGAGGAAGTGGAGACCAGCCTAAGCAAGACCCCGTCTCTACTGAAAATAGAAAAACTAGCTAGGTGTTGTGGCAGGTGCCCATAGTCCCAGCTACACAGAAGGCTGAGGCAAGAGGATCTCCTAAACCCAGAAGTTTGAGTCTGCTGTCAGTTATGACACCATGGCACTCTACCCAGGGTGACAGAGTAAGAATTTGTCTCAAAAATAAAGAAATAAAAATAAAGAATATCTTAATTAGCAGATATGGCTTCTGCCATCATGGGGCTACAAAAAATTTAAACAAGCTTCTTTGGGTTTCTCAGAACCTTTAATATATTAGTAACTGTATATACTGTGATTCTCCATTGAGATATAAGCAGTAAGGCTTTGGAGCTAATGGCATGACCTCTGCTGTTACAGCACTTGGGTTGAAAACCAGATCTACCATTTACTAAGCTGTGTGACCAAGTTCCTTAAACTCTCTGCTCTTCTGTTTTTTTCATCTGTATAAAATGGTGATCAGAATAGTTTCCATGGAATTTTGTAAAGAATTGAAATGATCACTCATGACAGTAAGTGCTCAGTAAATGTCGGTTGTTTCTACTCTAATACAACAGGACTAGTGATGGAAACACATTTCTCTGAAGACCACCCCCTCCCTTGTCACCCTGGATTCAGTATGATGAAAACAAATTGCACCAGAAGTCAGAGCGTGCAAGTTCATTTTTCTAATTGTGTGACCTTGGAAAGCCATGTTCCCTCACCGCACAGGGGTGGATGGGACCTTAAACATTGTCCCTTACTGGGCTGCGTGAGACCCAGTAAGGTGCAGAGACTTTCTGAAGGTTCCGTAGTTAGTAGCCAGTGAAAGGGGGTCTCTAACCTCAACGCCTTTGTTTTCCACGCCCTAATTCTTCCCATTAGAGAAGCAAGGCCGGCTACTAGGCAAGCCCAGAGGGTAGCTGCGCTGGGGTTTTTTTTTTTTTTTTT